ATCATTACATTATGGAAAATAATGACCTTTATCACAATATGCTAATTGTTTTAGAAGAACCTTTATGTACGCCATAATATAGGCCAGTTTGTTTAGATACTCAAATTCATTCTCGGAGCACTCATAAGGAGTATACATGTTCAGTATGGTGATTGTTTTATCCCCACCACAGAACTCAAGTCCTATTGCCCAGTCAACATTCAGCCTGACCACTTTGATTTGCTGGTCAAGCTTCTTATGCCAAAGCACTGCAACACCACCAGGGATTCTGCCACGGAGTATCCCATCACAACAGTCAGTGGTGGATTCCCCTGCTCCATAGAATTCTTTATGAACAGTTTAACCTTTCTAAGTCCTGTCTAGACAGAAAAGTCTCCTGCACACGCAATTTATCACGTTTCTAAAAGTTTAACAACAAGGCAGCGAGATTTATCTGCTTCATCATGCCCAACACGCATTCCCCGTACATTATATAAAACCTGTTTCTTCCATCTCCATCTTCTAATATCTCCAAACTTCGCCCATCTCTCACTTTTGCTGATGCAGAGAAAATCGTCCATGCCTTTGTCTCCTCCAGGCTCGACTACTGCAACTCCTGTTTACTGTTTACTGGAATACCCGGCAAAAACCTTCAGAAGCTTCAATATATTCAAAACAGTGCAGCCAGGATCTTATTGAGAGCTCGTAAATTTGAACCAATTACACCCATTCTCCATAACCTCCATTGGCTTCCTGTCACCTACAGAATTCAGTACAAAATTGCTCTCATTACCCATCAGTGTTTAAACGGAACTTCACCAGATTATCTGAAGGACCTTCTTGCTCCATGTTCATCCACCCGGTCCCTACGATCACAGAACAGTCATCTCCTCCACCTTCTACAAACTAAATTAAGAACCATGGGAGATCGGGCATTCTGTGTGGCTGCCCCCCACCTCTGGAACTCCCTCCCTGACTATCTGAGAGCTCCACAATCATTGACTGACTTTAAAAAAGGCTTAAAGACTTTTCTTTTTAAGCAAGCCTCTTCTTCCTCCACATGATTGTATCATTGATTTTAGATGATTTTATTTTTGATTTTAGTAAATTTCATCACTGACTTTAGTTGATTTTATCATTGATTTTAGTTGATTTTTATCACAGATTTTAGTCGATTTTATCATTGATTTTAGTTGATTTTTATCATTGATTTTAGTTGATTTTTATCACTGATTTTAGTTGATTTTTATCATTGATTTTAGTTGATTTTATCACAGATTTTAGTTGATTTTTGTCATTGATTTTAGTTGATTTTATCTCAGATTTTAGTTGATTTTTATCACTGATTTTAATTGATTTTTATCACAGATTTTAGTTGATTTTTGTCATTGATTTTAGTTGATTTCATCACAGATTTTAGTTGATTTTGATCACTGATTTTAATTGATTTTTATAACAGATTTTAGTTGATTTTATCACTGACTTTAGTTGATTTTATCATTGATTTTAGTTGCACTCTGTAGCACTTTGAGATTTTTGTTAATGAAAAGTGCGTTACAAATTAAATTCATTATTATTATTATTATTATTATTATTATTATTATTATTATTATAACTGATACATTGGCTGAATTTTTTTTTTAGCTTTTCCCCCCAATAATCTCAGTAACCAGCTACTTTTAAACCTGTTTTAACACTTGAAATCTTGAAATGGTCTTCCTAACGTGCGTTCACATTTTCTATCCTCCACTATTCACCATAAAGTTTGCAAGAGTGTTATAAAAATATAAATTAAGAAACACTCTTCTCTGTTCATTGCTTAAACAATCAGTCACATATGGGGAAGGTCTAATTAGTTTTGACCACAGCAGAGTTTATTTTTCTTTGCAGAGAAGTAAAGATTTCAGACAAACATTTAATTTCATTGAGGACAACAAAGATAACGTTACTAACTGATGTATTTTACCTCTGTTAAATTTATTGTTCTGGATAAAGTTTTACAAGGCTACAGCCTATGCTAGGTTATGTACTGGTAAATATTAGCTTGCTAACTTGAGAGGCACGTAGCTAATGAAAAGCAGGTTGGAGGATTGAAGAGAATTTATTATTGTTAATGTATTTTACAGATCAGTTAAAATAAATTACCATGCTCTATTCAGCAAAATATACTACACAGTATTTAGTTGTTCCCTGTGTTGTCATGTGCAACACGGCCATGACTTGATAGTAGTCCTAATACGCCCAATACGCAATCCCCGTACATTATATGAACTGATATTAAGGTTCATGTTGTCTATGATCTACCATGCGCTTGCCTCTCTGGGAGCCTCGAAAGCTGTGCGCACAGCAGGTGCAGAGCTACATTCAGCCTCCCCTTCCATCACTTTGGGTACACTGACACTCACCCTCAGTTTGCGAGCCTCATAATACCGGCGCACATAAGTTCCCGCTGGCCAGAGTTGTGCGTTGTACAGTTCAGCTACTTGATCGCACTCTGCCATCACATGAAATGAACCAAATCTGTTATGTGTCAACGCCATTTTCTTGCAGGTCACAGATTTCCCCAGTTTTTCAATGAGATATGCGCGCAGAGTATCTGCATCTAGCTCCGGAGAAAACCTTGTAGCAAATTCACACCAGTTTGGTTTTAATCACTGGGATGTTTCCTTCTTCTCCGGTGCCAATTATTCCCCCTTTCTTCCGCAGCTCCTTTTTTGGGCAAACTTGCAGAGCAGGTTGTATCGGCCTGCTTGTGTTTACCTCTCTTTAACACAGTGCTCCACTCTGGAGGCTGTGGCGTTCACGATCTCACTCGGTCCTGGGACGCAATATTCGGAGTTTCCCAGTAGTACAGGAGCAGATGCTGTCACTTCCTGTGTCTCCCTCTGAATCACCCTCACCCTTACAGGGTCGTTGGCCCGTCCAGCATCTTCTTGGCCAGGTGCTGTGCTCACTTGTAGTTTTTCCAAAGCTGTCACTCGGAGCTCCATAGCTGCTGCAGACGTCGTCACGTTCTCATTCTCACATCTCTGATTATCCAGAGTTGCTCTCAGGTTAGTTATCTCCCAGCTCAGCTGTTGAACTCTGCTGAGTAGCGCAGATGCGTCCATATGTTCAAATCCAACAGGAGGTAATTCATCCAGATTGTGTGATACAAATCTGGGAATATTATTGCCACACTCAATCTTTGATATTATTGACGTCCTTCTGAGGCCCCTTGTGCTTTACACAGCGTGTTGAAGTTGGACACATTTCAAACAATATCCGCTTGGACTCTTCGATCCATTCAGAGGAGAAATTGTTTGACACCAGCAAAACAATTTCATCAGTTGCCATAGTTCTCATTTTAACAACAATAAAGTTCAAAAGCTCATCCTCAATTATTACTTTACCATCTGTTGTTCTGTACACACAGATTTCAGATTACAGAGCTGCAGTGTGTTGGTTTTTGACTTGGGGTGAGCTAAAACGAGTCCAAAGTGTAACAAGCCCTGCAGAGGTGACCCCACTTGATGAAGAGTTGGATTCGGGTCCAAAAAATCCGACCTGGCTCCAGCCCGTAGCCATCATTTCCAAACCCCACCCGATCAGACAAATTAACAGTAAATACAGGTCCAAACCCGAAAAAAACCTAACATTGTTACCAGCAAAGTCCATGTTCAATAATCCAGGTATACAATCCAACACTTTTCAGTCAGGTCGTCTGGACAGTTGTTTTTTTTTTTTTGTGCTGAAACGTTTCACCTTCACTCCAAAAAAAAACTGACCGCAACTGACATGACTGTCGACGAGGGAGAGGGCCAGCACCGGAGGAGGGGGGCGTGCCAAAGAGACCAGCACCAACTTAACTGGTTTGTTCCACTTTGGAGTAAGCTGTTTGGGGGAAGAATCAGTTTTGTGTTGTGTGTTTCCTTGACTGATGAAGCCTTCTGGATGGAAGGTGAAACGCTTCAGAAAAAAAAAAAAAACTGTCCAGATGACCTGACTGAAAATTGTTGGACCTAAAATTTTTAAATAAATACATTAGAACATTTATTATTCAAATTAAACATAAACTGTTTAAGGTGAGTTTTCTCATCTTTCCATGAGAGTAAAGATGAGCTGCAGGCATGCAGACTTGGTGGGAGGTGGGACGATTTGTTTAACTTAGAATAAGTTTAAAGTTTTCTGCATTTTAAGTAAGCACAAGTACATAATTAGATGTAAGCCATTTTAAGCAAGAAACAATGTCTTAGGGGGAAAAAGTGAATTTAAGTGAACAGAGATAATTTTAATTAATTCTAAAAGAAAGACTCAATGTTTAATCCAAGTGTTATTGTTCAGTTAGTCTTGGCTGAACTTTCTGCTGTTCTTTCTTGATTTTGCAGATTTTTATGAAGCCTGACTTTGCTTTGGAAGACCCGGCCACCTTCAGCACCGTCCTGCCCTGGTCTCACTTTCACAGTGCTGGAGGGAAGAGCAGCCGAGATGGAGCTTCCTCCAAACTGCTGCAGGAGAAGGTGAATCTCAGCTAAACACAGATCAGTCCAAACAGCACCGGAATGAGGTATTTGTTACTAAGTCCAGTGGGAGCAATGAACACAGTCCTAAACTCATTCACAGCTTTGATCTCCCTGAACATTTGAGTTTTAAAGTTACAAGGTGAAGGTCCAAGGTAAGTGTATCACAGCGTACCAGATTATATACCTCAGGTTCAAGGGACCTTTTTCCACTAATGCTGCTTTACCTTTGGTAAGTGTGGCTCCACTTGGTTCTTCTCAGGTGGAGGTGATTTGCCACCACAGTGGAGGCTGACCTGTTTCCCTGCTCTGTGGATGGGATCGTTACTGGTCTTTTTGTGTTTGAGCCACTCCACCTGTTGGGGTCGCTAATCATCCTGTAATCAGACTTGAATTTCTTTAGCTTATCTCGGCACTGCTTACAAGTCCACGTGTCATCCTTAAATGCACTCATTTTTTGTGGCACCGTCCATCAACACGATGAGGAAGTGGAGGTTCAGATCTAGTTTGCAGTTTTCCTGGGCAGGTCATCCAGTGATGAAGCTCATCTGGCCAATCAACAGCTGCTGTCTGGTGAAGCCAAAATCATCCCCTCAGAGCAGCGCGCTTGGAGCCACGAACACTGTGGTTTTATAAACCGAGTTGAGTAGGGGTGGGTACCGGTGCGGTGTGGTGCGGAGCTGAGGAGAGTTGAGAGCCATAAATGAAGAGCAGCGTTTCCCCTACCATTATACAAGCGGCGCGCTCTGCCCCGTTAACAGAACCATGCGCCCTGCCTATCAAACTGAACTGCACCCCCCCCCCCCCACCTGTCAGCACTGGTGTAACGCTAACCAGTATAGTGGCGCAATACAGGCGCGCTAGCTAAAAAGCTAATGGCAGCACACTCTGCCTCTTCCCTCATGCTGAACCCACATGCTGAAATCCCCCCCACCCCCCCACCCCCCACCCCCACACACACACATGCACATGCACGCTCGAGTACTGCCGGTATAAGCAGCACACAACTCTGCTGTCTCCCTCTCCCCCCAAAAAAATCACGGACGACATGAGTGCCCCGCCATGGCAAGTTATCCAGGAGAAACACTGAGGAGGGTTCTGTTGACGGTAGTTTTAATTTCAGAAGATTGTTGTTTCTCTCGTGTCTCAGTGATTTGTAATGTTGAAGTGTCTTGATGCAATCTAAAGGAAGTACAGGTAATTGATTTTAAATAATGTTTACTTTTGTATAAAATTTTTAAAAAAGTATTTGAACGTTCAAAAACATTAAAAATGAGCATCATTGTTATTAAGACTTAGCAGTGAAGAGTGAACACATTTGAAAGTGCAGATGTTAACCTGGTGTGACCTTGGCTATTCCTCAGCTCAGCCACTACCTGGATGTTGTGGAGGTCAGCATCGCTCGACAGATCTCGCTGCGTTCTGAGGCTTTCTTCCATGCCATGTCCTCCCAGCATGAGCTGCAGGACCGGCTGCAAGAGACGCAGCAGGCCGTGGCCGTTCTGCGGCGCCGAACCGCAGCCATGGACAGGGTCATGTGCCAGGGGCCTCTCTGGGCGCTCCGCTCGTCTTTGACTCGAAGCAACTACGTGAAGCTGCACAATAAGCTGAAGCTGATGGCGGCGGTGCATCAGACGCAGCCCACCGTGCAGCTGCTGCTCTCCACCTCGGAGTTTGTGGGAGCACTGGAGCTCATCTTCACCACCAAGGAGGTGCTGCAACAGGAGCTGCAGGGGATCCACAGCTTCAGGTACATGTACAACTTACACAGCATTTATTTGTCACCATGATCACTTCTCCCCTCTGGTCACACCCTGGATAAATGGTCAATGGACTGTACTTGTATAGCGCCTTTTTATCTTATTTCAAGATACTCAAAGCGCTTTACACTACAATCTGTGTCCTCATTTACCCATTCATACAGCACTCTACTAGATCTCTACAAAGCTAATTGAACAAACCATTCTAATGAGACTAATCAGTGCTTTAGATCACATTCATACACTGATGGGACACACATCAGAGGCTATGAGGGGTTCAGTGTCTTGCCCAGGGACACTTCAGCATGTGACTGCTGGTGGATTCGAACCCCCAACTTTCGCATTGGAGGACAACTGCTCTAACCGCTCAGCCACAGTCGATATTTCCAATCCATGATGCATGTCTGTGGTTGCGCTGCATGTTGGCTTCAAACTATGTAATGGATTTCCTGAACGGAGGCGTGTCTAATGAACCCAGAGTAATAAGACCCGCCTCACATTCAGGAAATCCATTTCATAGTTTGCAGCCAGCTACAACGTGCAGTAGCACTGTGGCTAACGGCTAACCAACTTTTCATTGAAACATGTCTGCTGTGTGGAAATATTTTACACTAGAAACACCGCAAAGCAAGACGGCAACGTGCAAAGTCTGCAGAGCCATAGCACCACATTAAACCGCGGTAAAGTTTGTTTTACGATGGACATTTGAGCTCTGGGGCTTCAGCGGTCTGTTATTTTTGTTCAGTCCAGAGAAGGCGGTCTGATTTCAGTCAGCCACGCTCAGTCTGACCCGCTCAGTCTGTCCGTGTCGGAGGAGGGACAGACTGAGCGCGGCTGACCGAAATCAGACTGCTTTCTCTGGACTGAACGAAAATAACAAATCGCTGAAGCCCCGGAGCTCGAATGTTTACCGTGAAGTTGCTAAACTTCATTGTAATTAATGACCAACCACTATCAGTTGTAGAAAACGTTGGTTACCTACTGTAACCCCAGATTCTATGAGTATAGGCGCAGCCCTTTAAGGCTATCGCTAGTGGGTTTATCCCTTCGCGTACAGCGCAGCACTGAAAACTTTAGTCCACGCCCACCTGCTGTGTGGGCCCCACCCCCGGTCTGTATAAATTACGGTGAGACCGGGCAATCGGCTCCCAAATAGCTTTTTTTCCCTTCATCCATTTAGGAACCAGTGAGGCCCAGAGCTTAAAGGGCTGCACCTATACTTATAGAATCTGGGGTTACAGTACGTAACCAACGTTCTATTTCGTATAGGCTTCGCCCTTTAAAGCTATCGCTAGTGGGTTAAAGGCGAAGCAGGATGTAGTCAATGCCTCACTGGGTCCATTCAGACACAAACATGAAGCACCTGCTCCACAAAAAACATTTAATCACTCAGCCTTCCGTATGCGTAATAACGCGCTGCATAATTACGCGCTTCATGCGCAGCAGCGCACCGGAGAAAAAAGATCTCTAATGAGGAAAAAAGGCTGAGATAACAGACCTGCTGCTGTGAATAGGAACAACGTAGGTTACAAATTGTAACAGTGTAACAATGAACAGAGCAGGCCAACAGCTACTCAGGATGAACAGATTAATAACAATAAAATCAGCAGTCATGAACTTGTGACTGATAATAAATATCTCACACTGCGACTACATGCAGGCAGGTGTGAGATCAAAAGTGAGGCTCCATAAAACAAATAATAATCATTCTGTCAGAACCCTGAGAACAGAATGGGTCATGTAGAAAGTAAAAACATCACGTAGATAAAAACGAATAAATGAACACGGCGATGACCAGGCAGCCGCCTTACAAATATCCTCCACTGTCATCCCTCCATGCAGAGCTGTGGAGGATGAAATCCCTCTGGTGGAATGCGCTCTGAAATTCTCTGGAGGATCCAGCCCAGATGAACTGTAAGCTTCAGAAATAGCCTCACACAACCAGTGTGAGAGGCGCTGGGTGGATAGAGGATGTCCTGAAGAGCTTTCCCTGTAATGCACGAACAGACGCTGAGAGCGGCGCAGTGTGGCTGTGCGAGTTACTTAACACGAAAACGCGCGCACGGAACAGAGGTGAAATGTTGCTTCCTCGTCAGAATTATGAGGAGGAGGATAAAACCCATCCAAGGTTATCACTCTCGATCTGAATGAGCTTGTGATACTTTAAGGAGTAAAAGCAGGATTAGGACACAGCACAGCTGAACTGCCGTCAGCTTGAATTCTGAGACATGAGGGAGCAACAGAGAGAGCAGACAAATCATTCACTCTCTTTGCCAACATCAGAGCTAACAGCAGGGCTGTTTTAAGTGAAACTTGATCTAAAGGCTCAAAAGGAGCTTTGATCAGTATGTGCAGGACCATCGTTAGGTCCCACTGTGGAGCTAGTGGACGTGACACAGGTCTGTGTCTCCGTACACCTTTCAGAATACTCTTCATTAGCGGGTGGTTAAAAACTGTTCTGTCACTGAAGCCCTCATGACAGGAAGAAATAGCTGCAGCATCAGTTTTAATTGTGTTGAACGCTAAATTTCTGTCCATCAGTTGCTACAGAAATGACAACACGCCACCTAGTGGGCATGAGATGGTCTCCATACCTTTCTCTGCGCACCAGCGCTGAAAAGCTGTCCACTTTGATGTGTACAGCGCTGTGGTGGAAGCAGCTCGTGCGCCCTGGATCGTACGCACCACATTCTGTGGAAGGCCCATCTTTTCTAAACGGATCCGTTCAGCGGCCAGACCCAAAGGAGCTGACCTGTTTCTGGGTAACTCCTGATCGCTCCTCCTGCCTGGAGGAGATCGTCCCCCCTCCACGGCAGTTTCTATGTCCGACCCGATATCAGTCGCTGCAGATTCGGGAACCATGGGGCGCTTATGCGCTCGAGAGCTACGAGGATGACCGACAACTCTTCTTCCCGAACCCGGTCCAGGGTCCGTCATATCAGTGGGAATGGAGGGAATGCATAAAGGAGCATTTTTGGCCACGGGCTGTGAGCGAAGGTGTTCACCCCTAACGGTTGGTCGTCCCGTGGGCTCAGTAAGAACCATAATTGACACTGGGCGTTCTCCCGTGTGGTGAACTGATCCACTGCTACTCGACCGAACCTGCTCCAAATCCAAGAGATCAGCTCGGGATGGAGGCTCCAGTCCCCGTGGCGGGGACCGCCTCTCAACATGATGTCCGCTTCCCTGTTCAGGACGCTGATGTACACTGCTCTGATAGAGAGTAAGTTTTTGTGTGCCCAACATAGCAGCTGTCTCGGGATGCGTAACAGTTGGGCTGAGCGCACACCTCCCTGGTGGTTTATGTAAGCTGCCGTCACTTTGTTGTCTGTGTGGATCAGAACATGCTGATCCCGCAGCAAGGGAGCAAAATGCTGAGTCACGTTCCAAACCCTGTGAAGTTCTAGCACATTTATGTGAAGTGACGTGGTCTGGCCACTGTGCTCCCACTGCCTGGGACAGACACTTTCTTCCCTAACTTGACAAGGACACATCTGTGAAAACTGAGACGTGTGTTGTAGACCTGCTGATGGGAACTCCCCATGACAGAATGAGGGGGTTTCCCCAGTGATTCAGATCGGTTCTCACGGAGGGGGGCACAGAGATCATCTGCCTCTTCTGGCAGACAGGATCTATGTGCAGGCGGGCAAACTATCTCTGAAGGCATCTCATGTGAAGCAGGCCCAGCGGAACCACAACGTGAGCCGATGACATCATCCCCAGGAGTCGCATGACAGACAGTGCTGTCACTATGCTGCAAAGTTTGACACGGTGGAGCTGAGCTGACAGAGCTTCGGCTCTTGGCTATGATAAACTGGCTCTCATTGTGGTTGAGTTTAGCTCCACTCCCAGATAAACAATCATCTGGGACGGGGGAGCGGAACTTTTTTCCCAGTTTATAGAAAACCCCAGGTTTAGCAGATGTAACGCTAGCGTTTTGGAATGTGCATCTGCTTTCTGCCTGGACTGATCTAATAAAAGTAGATCATCCAGATAAAAAATAATTCTCATTCCTGCCATGTATAATGGCTGCAGAGCTGTCTCCATGCATTTTGAGAACATGCGTGGGACCAGGGAATAACCGAACGGTAGCCTGTTGTACTGATATCCCCTGAAAGGAGAAACGCAGGAATTTCTTGTGTTTCGGAATGATGGGAATTTGAAAATATGCACCCTTCAGATCTATGGAGGTGAACCAGTCGTTGTGGTGAACGTTCTCCAGCAGCTGTTTGATAGTCAGCATGTGGAATTGTCTCTTCATGATCGATTTGTTGAACATGGACACGTCAAGAATGGGTCTCATTCCTCCGGGTTTTTTTGGAACCACGAAGTAGCGGGAGTAAAACCCTGTGTTTTCCTCTCTGTTGGGAACTCTGGAAATTATATTTTTCATCAGGAGTTCTTGAACTTCTGACTGGAGAGACAAGCTCTGTTCTGGGGATGATAAAACAATCGCTATAATCCCTCTGAACGGTGGGGGTTGAGCTGCGAACTGCAGCGTGTGACCCCTGCTGATCATACGGTCCATCCATTTGTCCAGGGAACACACTTGCTGCCACTCTGAGTAACGCTCGGGGAGTGAGCACACATTTTTATGTTATGTTTCTCATGGACGTCAGCCAAGCTAGAGCCTCTACCACCGTCTCCCTCTTCGGAGATTCTCCGAGGGGGACCCAAGGGGGGCTCCGACAGAAAGGGCTGTATGTGTGCCTCTGTGCTGAGCCCAGGGTGCGGTCTCGCGTTAGAGCTGAGGTGAGCCGGCGCACACTGAGAGGAGGCGTGAATGCTTTTTTGGGTGAGACGCCATTTCGGTGGGGACTGCAGCTGTCGTGGAGAAACACGTTTACTCCCGCTGCGTGGCGAGTGGGCAGAAACAGCAGAAAATAAAACGGGCTCTGACTGAGAGCGAGGGATTTTCCCGGACTTGGTCTGCTGAAAACCATCATTTTTAGCTGACGTGGCAGACGAGTGTTTTGTGAGATTTACCGAGCTGCGGTGTCATTTAAAACGCAGTTTAGAGGTTACCGGCTCGTTCTGTGTGGGGAATGTGTGAAGAGGCAGCTGTGAGATCAGTTGATCTGACAGTCAGGCTGCAATCAGATGAAACTTTACTCTAAGATATGTTTTTGTTTTATTTCAAAACGCACATCAAAAACACACACATTCCCCTCAAGGAGCTGTTCCCTGGTGGAGGGGCCGGTGGAAGAGCGGAGCGTGAAGTCGCTGCCACAGCTGTGGCGCACCTCTGCTGCTGTCGCTGGCCATGGCGGTCCCTCCAGCGGCCAGAGGAGTGGGAGGAGGACTGTGACGTCACCAGATAGTGTACCGTCTCTGAGACCTCCTCGGTCCTATGCGATTTCTCAAGTATGGTCCTGAAGTTGGCCCCGAACAGCGCCTCTGGGGTGATGGGGCCCTCCAGCAGGTCCCTCTGCAGTCTCTCGGACATGGGTGGCGAGCGGCGGAGCCTGGTGGTCCTCTGGATCACGGTCATCCAAACGGCGATGCGGGACAGACAAACTGCAGAGGTGGTGCACAGGTTGAGGATAATAATAATAATAATGCGTTTTATTTGTCAGCACCTTTCAAAACACCCAAGGACACTTCACAGCATTAAAAACACAGTATTAAACAATATAAAATAATAAAATAATAAAGGATGACGTCGGCGGCTTTACAGAGGGAGCTCTTGTCTCCTCTGGCAGGTCTGCTTGCTCCAGCCTCTTCGAAATGCTGAAGGCCAGCAGGGCGACTTTGTTGTTGTTTGCCGCGGCCGCCTGGAATGAGCACTGATGAGCTCTGTTGGTGAGCTTTGTAATGGTCTGGTCGTGCTTCCCTGGAGGGATAGGTCGCTGGTCCATCCTGGAAGCCTTTGCCCCGAACACCTCCGCAAAGCTTGGCTGCAGAGGGGGAACCGAGGGAAAACTCCGCTCTGTAAAGCCCTCCACTCTGGTGATGGGGGTGAAGGTGAAGACGGGCGCCTTCAGCTTGCCGGGCCCAGCTGCAGCCTTGTTCCAGTATGATGTCACAGCTGGAAAGTGGGGCCAGATGGGGGCAGGGCGACGAGCCGGGGCGGAGCCAAACCTTCCCGCCAGATCATCCGATTGGGGCCGAGGGAGGAGAAGGACGGAAAGTCCCTTTGTAATGGACTGTACTTATACAGCACCTTTCTATCTTATTTCAAAATACTCAAAGCGCTTTAGACTACAATCTGTGTCCTCATTTACTCATTCATACAGCACTCTACTAGATCTCTACAAAGCTAATTGAACAAAAATCATTCTATTGAGACTAATCAGTGTCAACTTTGTGTCAACAACCTCCTGGATTATGCCGGGCAGTTCCAAGAGGAGGGCACCGACGGCTGGGAGCAAAGTGGTCGCCGACATAGGAAGACCCGAGGTGGCTGAGCAACCGCTCGGCCGTCCATCTTCCGTCACTACGCTCTCCAGGAGGGAGGGGCAGCGGGGCTGCTGCCAGCATCGCCTTTTTCTGAGGAATTGTCCGATTCACTGCGTCGAAATGCGTTAGAAAAGGCGATGGCGTCGTCCAGCGAGTAGCGGCCCGCCACGAAAAAACACTCCTCGGCACTTACCTTGAACAAGGCTGCTCGTCTCTACTTCTCCTCGGGAGGGAGGAGCTCACAGGGACGGCAGGAGGTGGCGAGGTCGGCATGGTGGGGACCCAGGCATCTTTCGCAGATGTTGCTGAACATCTTTTTCTTCTTTGTTCTTCTGAAAGTGCTTGCTGGCTGAAGAAAAAATGGGAGCTGATTGTCTGGTCTCACCGTAATTTATACGGACCAAGGGTGGGCGTGGACTGAAGTTTTCAGTGCTGTGCTGCGCGCGAAGGGATAAACCCACTAGCGATAGCCTTAAAGGGCGAAGCTTATACAAAATAGAATGAAGGATTTCGCAGCTTGATACTTGCAGCCAAGATATTGTTTACCCTCAAGGAGATATTTATCAGTACAATTAGTAGACAATCAAAAAAAGCATATAAATTGAAAATTACAATAAAATTATATTTAAAAAAAACGAAACAAAAACAGCTACATTATAAAGCGATTTAAAATTCTAAAAACAGAAACACGTTTGTGTTGGTTTATGCCATGAACTTAGCAGATGTTTAAAGCCATTTAATCACTTTAATATCCATTTTAAAGCTAGGAATTAAAAAAAACAAACAAAAAAAAACATGTTTTGTGTTAGCGGGATTTAATTCTAACTTTGAAACTTATCCAACATTAATAAAACACCTCATGTTGCCTTTTTGGACATGCATATATTTGTACAAATTGTACTTGCCTGTAGAGAGGAGATTATTACATCCTCGTATAAAATCAATTATGATGATGATATCGTAACGGGATTGGTATCAGCCAATATCCATATTTAGGTATCGGGATTGGATCGGAAGTTACAAAATGTGGATCGGTGCATCCCTAGTTTTGAATTGTGTGCAACAATCCACTAAAGTGCATGTTAGCATGTGAAACAAATGCAGCCTACAGCTGGCATGCTGTGGAGGCTTACAACCTGCTAATTGATGAACAGTGACTTGTTGGGATCCAATGTTTCTGTTTTAAAAGCAGAACAGCAGAGAAGAAGTAAATAGTCTGACCAATAAGTACTCCGACGTTAGATCAGTAAATAATCTGATTCCAAACTGTTTTGCCACTTTTGTGCCATAAGGCCTCAGTTCAGAAGGTGCATCTAAAACTCAGTGAATAGAAGTTAAGGTACAACAGCTGCAGCAGCTGCAACATCAAGAGTGAAACACTTATTTCCTGTGTGTGTGTGTGTGTGTGTGTGTGTGTGTGTGTGTGTGTGTGTCCCTCAGACATCTGGGCTCCCAGCTGTGTGAGCTGGAGAAGCTGATCGACAAAATGATGGTGGAGGACTTCAGCATGTACGCCCGCAGCGATCTGAACCGGAGTCTGAAGGAGGAGCCTCAAGTGCTGGAGAAGGTCTGTACAACTCACAGCCCTGCTGTTCTCATGGTGTTTATTCAGATTGTGTGTTTTGCCCTACATGTTCACACAAACTTGTTCCATCAGTTCTTCTTGTGTAGGAAACCAAATGAGCTAGTTTGTTTTTGGGGAAAAAAAAGGATTAGATGCATTTAATCTGTCACTGACTGTGTTTTACACGAACTCTAACATGTAAAACAAAACTTAAATGCTCCGGAGAGCCAGGTGAATTTTCAGTCGACAACACAAGACTGTATTATATTCAATAAATGTTCTACTGTCTCAGTTCCAAATATTACTCACAAACAAAATTAGTCATGAGAAGGGCAGGATATTATGACATCCAGATGCAGTAATGAATTTCTTAATGACTCAGATGCATGTTAGGCTAATTGCTAATTCTAAAATTGTCCCCAAGTGACTGACTACTGACATTTCATACTCTCAATCACCTTAACTACCTCACTAATATCCATAATGTGCAATACAATTGTGTAATACTTGTATTTTTTTAACTTTCATTATTATATCTATATTGCGTTACATTTTTTATATTTTTAGTATGTTTAATGTGTGTTTTCTTAAGGCGTGTTTTTGCACTGGAAAAAGGAGTGGCTCTTAATTTCATTGTACTGCGTATAATGACAATAAAGGCATTCTGATTCTGATTCTGAAATGTGAGAAAGTGAAAGGTTGTTTAATAATAATGTGTTATGTATTGTCATCACTGTATGTTCCCATACAATGGTGAAATTGTATCTCTGCTTTTAACCCATCCACCACCAGGTGGAGCAGGGGGCAGCTATGGAAAGCACCTGGGGAGCAACTGGGGATAAGGTGTTCTGCTCAGAGACACCACTGCAATGACAAGGGATCGAACCTAGAACCTTTGGGTCCCGAGTCGGCTGCCCTGCCCCTACACCATCTCGGCCCTTGTCTCTGTGTCCCTGTGATGGACATGTGACCTCTCTAGGGTGTCCCCCACCTCTCGCACAGTGACTGCTGGATATGGGCACCCGTGACTCCTATGCATATATGTACATAAGTAGTCGGTGTTTGAGTCAAAGTATATGTAATTAGTCAGAGCTGCAGTACTTACAGATTTATTCTGTTTCATTAGTGTTTATTTCACAATTGTGTTCAAAGCTCTGCAGAAAGATCACATAAATATAATTATCTGCATACTTTGTTGATTTGTGATACAGTAATTACTCAGACATTCATCCATCCATTCGTTTTCTTTACCCGCCTTTTTCTGTTTCGGTCGTGAGGTCATTGTGCGAGAGATGGGGGACATCCTGGACAGGTCGCTTGCAAGTCTGATCTGGCATTCATTCGTTAAAAACACAAAGTGTTGGACAGAACACAGCACAGAGGGTATCTAATGGAAGTTGAAGGCCAACTGGATAGAACCAGACGTTAACCAGGACTCTCTGAGACCCATTAGTTTAAAAATTGGGACATTTAGTGTGCTAAAATCTAAATTAAAATCAGATAAGAGTCTGTGCAATAATCTTCTGGATCTACTTGAAAGCTGATAAAAGATGTGTGTGATTCTGTGCATCTTATTTATTCTTGTTCTTGTCACGTCTTGTCTGTTCACACTGAAACTTGGGAGATCTGCTTCTGGAGCTGGATGAAAAACTTCAAACGTGATTAAAAAGACTAAAGTCTACTAACAGTTCTATTTGTGTACTTGCATGACTACAGTCAACTGTATATGGTATTTACTGGAGGCTGTACTTACCACAGGTCCACAAACCAAATGCTGCGTCATCAAAGGTGACCACACACACAGCTGACAATCAATAATCTATTTGCATTAAATAGATCCTTCTAATCACATCTGCAGCTGAAATCACACATAAGATCATGAATGTTGATTAAACTTGCATGGAAATAATTTAAGTAATCGCTCTGATTTGAGTGAAGTTGCTGCTTTTGGAAAACCAGGTGCTGTCTGATGATTGTTTTCTGTAGAGTTTATTGAAACAAATGGAGATAATTGGTGTCTAAACACTAATTATTAAAGGAAAATATTTTAATGAGCTTGTCAAGTCTAATAAAAACATCTCAACAAATGAAATGGATTTTTCTAAGCTATCAGAGGCATCATGAGACGTATCATGCGCTTTACTAATAAAGTTTTTACGTACAAAAGTAAACCCTCATTTTAGTCTATTAGAAATGCATATACCTGTTTTGAGATTAGTAATCTGAACAATTAAATCTTGGGAAGTTTAATATTTTACATAATTTAGATAGATGTGTAGCTTTGATTACACTTGATTATGCTTCTTTGGTCCAACTAATCACAGATTTAATCAAGGCTGCTTTTTTTTTTTTTTTTACAAGATACTCAGTTCTTTCCAGTATATTAACAAATCTTTAATTCTAAATGATGATTAAAACTCTTTGCTCTGTTTGACTCATGTCGAAGACCACGCAAATGGAAACGTGTCAGGAGGCAGAGGTAGAAGAAGAAAGTCAGGAATATAGGACTGAGGCTGGTAACTCTAAATATGGGGACACTGACAGTCAAAGGTAGAGAGCTGGCTGACATGATGCTGAGAAGGAAGGTAGATGTTTTATGTGTCCAAGAGACGAAGTGGAAAGGCAGCAAGGTTTGCAGCATTGGAGCAGGGTTTAAACTATTTTACCATGGTGTGGATAGAAAGAGAAATGGAGTAGGGGTGGTCCTGAAGGACGAGTTGGCAAAGAACGTAGTATAGGTGAAAAGAGTGTCAGATAGGGTGATGTGTCTGCAGGTAGAAGTAGAAGGTCTGATGTTAAATGTTGTCAGTGGTTATGCTCCACAGGTTGGATGTGATGTTGAGGAGAAAGATGCATTTTGGAAGGATCTGGATGAAGTGATAGAGTATTCCCAGGAAGGAGAGAGTGGTGATCAGAGCAGACCTGAATAGACATGTTGGAGAAGGAAACAGAGGGGATGAGGAAGTGATGGGTAGGTTTGGTGTCAAGGAAAGAAACCAGGAAGGACAGATGGTGGTGTATTTTACCAAGAGAATAGAAATGGCTGTATCCGTCCAGCCATCCATCCATTCTCTTCCGCTTATCCGGGGTCGGGTCGCGGGGTTAGCAGCCTAAATAGGGAGGCCCAGACTTTCCTCTCCCCAGCCACTTGGGCCAGCTCCTCCATGGGAATCCCAAGACGTTCCCAGGCCAGCTGAGAAACCTAATCCCTCCAGCGTGTCCTGGGTCTTCCTCTGGGTCTCCTCCCGGTGGGACGTGCCCGAAACACCTCACCTGGGAGGCGTCCAGGAGGCATCCTAACCATATGCCCGAGCCACCTCAACTGGCTCCTCTCGATGTGGAGAAGCAGCGGCTTTACTCTGAGTCTCTCCCGGATGACTGAGCTTCTCACCCTATCTCTAAGGGAGAGCCCAGACACCCTGCGGAGAAAACTCATTTCGGCCGCTTGTATCCAAGATCTTGTTCTTTCGGTCACAACTCAAAGCTCATGACCATAGATGAGGGTGGGAACGTAGATCGACCGGTAAATTGATTCAGCTCTCTCTTCACCACGACAGAACGGTACAGCGCCCGTTTCTCTGCCGACACTGCACCTATTCGCCTATCGATTTCACGCTCCATTTTTCCCTCATTCGTGAACAAGACCCCAAGATACTTACTCCTCCACTTGGGGCAGGACCTCCTCCCTGACCCGGAGAGGGCACTCTACCCTTTTCTGGCTCAAGTCCACGGCCTTGGATTTGGAGGAACTGATCCTCATCCCGGCCACGTCACATTCGGCTGCAAACTGCTCCAGCGAAAGCTGTAGATCACGACGTGATGAAGCCAATTGGAAGCGGTCCTAAGGCCACCAAAATGGATCCCCTCAACACCTTGGCTGCGCCTAGAAATTCTGTCCATAAAAGTTATGAACAGAATCGGTGACAAAGGGCAACCTTGGCGTAGTCCAACTCTTACTGGGAACGAGCCTGACTTACTGCCGGCAATGTGGGCCAAGCTCTGACACCGGTCGTACAGGGGCCTAACAACCCGTATCAAAGGGCCTGGTACGCCATACTCCCAGAGTACCAACCACAGGGCTCCCCGAGGGACGTGGTCGAACGCCTTCTCCAAGTCCTCAAAGCACATGTAGACTGGTTGGGCAAACTCCCACGCAACCTCCAGGATCCTGCTGAGGGTGTAGAGCTGGTCCAGTGTTCAATGACCAGGACGAAAACCGCACTGCTCCTCCTGAATCCAATGTTCGACTATCCGACGGACCCTCCTCTCCAGAACCCCAGAATAGACTTTACCAGAGAGGCTTAAGAGCATGGTCCCCCTGGAGTTGGAACACACTCTACGGTCCCCCTTTTTAAATAGGGGGACCACCACTCCAGTCTGCCAATCCAGGGGAACTGCCCCTGATGTCCACGCAATATTGCAGAGTCGTGTAAGCCAACACAACCCCACAACATCCAGAGCCATAAGGAACTCCGGGCGAATCTCATCCACCCCTGGGACCCTGCCACTGAGGAGCTTTTTAACCACCTCGGTGACCTCAGCACCAGAGATTGGAGAACCCAACCCAAGGTCCCCAGGCTCTGCTTCCTCAGTGGAAGATGTGCCAGTGGGATTGAGGAGGTCTTCAAAGTATTCTGCCCATTGACCCACAACATCCCAAGTTGAGATCAGCAGCACATCACCTCCACTATAAATAGTGTTGATGGCATACCGCTCCCCCCCCCCCCCGAGACACCGGATGGTGGACCAGAATCGCCTCAAAGCCGTACGGAAGTCATTCTCCATGGCCTCTTCGGACTCCTCCCATGCCCGAGTTTTTGCCTCAGCGACCACCCGAGTCGCATGCCGCTTGGACTGCCGGTACCTATCAGCTGCTTCTCGGGTCCCACAGGCCAAAAAGGCCTGATAGGACTCCTCCTTCAGCCTGACAGCATCCCTCACCGCCGGTGTCCACCACCGGGTTCGAGGGTTACCGCTGTGACAGGCACTGACAACCTTGTGGC